AATTTTAGTATAACAATACTATCCTGATTTTTAATTCAAATCTCATCAATAGCATTATGCTACCTTTTGGTTGCAAGCTCGAACAATATAATTATTGCTTTTCAACAAGTTGTGTCTGTTGTCTGTGTGACAAAAAAAATCAATCATTGGTTTTATGCATTAATGCATTATACAAATTAGCTAATGCAAAATCTTGAAATTGCTAGCAATACGAAGTCTTAGAGTAAATGATTAAAGACTCGTATTAGGATAATTCAATAACAATAAATAAAACAAACTATAAAATCAATATATAGAATTTGAGAATATACCCGAATCTTATACAGCATTATTCTTTGTTAAAAACGAATCCAATCCAAAAATTGTGAATTATAACATTCCTAATTCGTATAAATTATTGAATGATTCATAATTACATAATGTAAAAATCAAAATCCCTTACGTTAAAAAAAAATAGACTTTAAATCCATCTATTAGCACTGCTTAACATTAATCTAATACGAGATGTCTGTTGCAGAATCTAATGCAAGTAAAAAGCGAAAAGAAAGATCTGCTATCACTTTAGAAAAGAAGGTTGAGATTATTAAAAAGAGGGAAGAAAATACAAAGTTAAGCCATCAGGATTTGGCAAACCAATATCATGTTGATAGGTCAACAATAAGCAATATATTGCGGGATAAAGATAAATATCTTCAATTATATAATACTACTCCTCATGCACAACAACGTGTTCGCGTACAAAAAGGACAGTTTCACATTATTGATGAGGCTGTATATAAGTTGTTTTTAGAATTTCGTTCTCAGAATGTTCCTGTTTCTCAGGATATACTCAAAACCAAAGCACTTTCTATATATGAACGTCTTAAAGATGGTGGTGTAGAATTTCCATCTACATTTAATGCATCTAATGGTTGGGTATTTGGATTTCAGCAGCGATTTGGTATTAGTTCCAAGACCATATCTGGTGAAAGCGAATCAGCTGATAAGGCTGCAGTTGAAAGTGGCCGACGTCGTTTTCAAGAATTACTCAAGGACTATCATCCTGATAATATTCTTAATGCAGATGAGACAGGTCTCTATTTTCGTCTTGGGCCAGACAAAACACTTGCATCAAAAAGTGATGCTGCTAAAGGATTTAAGAAAGATAAGCAACGTCTCACTGTACTTTTTTGCTGTAATGCATCAGGTACACGAAAATTTAAACCATTCGTAATTGGCAAAAGTGCACGACCACTATGTATGAAAACTACCAATATGTCTAAATTACCTGTGCACTATTCTAACAATAAAACAGCATGGATGACTGAAACAAAATGGGAAAATTGGTTGAAATGGTTGGATAGTCAAGTTAATCAGCCAACTATTCTCTTAGCTGATAATTGTACTGCACACTCAAGCCCCAGGTTGCAAAATATTAAGTTGGAATTTTTGCCGCCACATACCACATCGGTTATTCAACCATGTGATGCTGGGATTATTAAAAATTTCAAAGCTAATTATCGTAAGCTATTAGTAAAAAAATGGATTGATGATATAGAAAGTGGAAAATCCTTTGAGCCAATTAATGTTAAAGAAGCTATTTATTTAATTTCTGATGCATGGAAACAAGTGTCGCTCATGACGATCGTTAATTGTTGGAATAAAACAAAAATACTTCCATTAGAAATGGATTTAACTGCTGAAACAAGTGATAATAATGATATAGATGAACTTGAGCAGGTGTTAGAAGAACTAGAAATGTCATACGATTGTATTAAATTGTCAGCAGAGGAATATATAAATGTGGATGAAGAATTACAAACGATGGATACACCAACTGAAGAATCTGTTGTCAGAGATATTCTTAAAGAGCAAGGTTTGGTTGATAATGAAAATTCGGATGAGGAAGAGGTGGAGGAGGAAGAAGTTGTAGATGAATTGATTCCGTATAATGAGGGAAAAATAGCATTGGAAGTTGCAAAAAAATATCTTGAGCAATCACAATTTGCTACTGAAGATGATATTTATTTGTTACGACAAATAATTAAAAAGGCAGAAAGTTATTACCGATCTAGCCTTAAACAAACAACTATTGATAAATATTTTATTACTCAATAGATTTGTTTTTTTTGCTTGTGCTAAAATCAATTATATAATATAAATAAAGTTATACAATTAAATGGCTTCAAGTTTTAAGCAAAGTTGACGAATGTATTGAAACTGCATTACTTTAAATTCTGAAACACTTAAAAAATGACTGAAATAATAAGTTTTGA